CTCCATGTTCGCCAGCTGGTCATTTACGATCTGGATGGCAGTCATGTCCACTGAGCTGTCCGCCATCAGTAACTTCATTGCCGTTGCCATCGCAAACCCAGCCCGTCGTAGAAAACCTCCAGGTCGTCCGTGAAAGCCTCGGCCGCCACCTCGTCCTCCACGCTGTAGGCTGCTCGATGATCCGCCGCCTGATGGTCTTTTCTTCTCGCACTCTGGGTCGCCCTTCCAGTGACCCTCTTGTGCCATGCATTGCACTTCGTGCGAGCCTTAATCTTCTTGAGCTTCTGTTCGGCTTCCTTGCCGTCCATCTTGATGGATCCCTGATTGTTGATGTTGGCCGTCCAGCCTCGGTTTGACTTGCTCTGTGCGAGCCTCTCCCGGGCCTGCTTGTAGTTCGGCTTGTGGCCTTTTCGTCCAGCTTTCCACCCAAGACGCTGAGCCTGTGCCGCTAAAGTGTCGCACTCTTCCTGGCTGACCTCTTCGGGGTCGACGTCGTCAATCACACCCTCGAAATCGTCGATGTCGGCCGCGAGCGCGTCGTAGTCTTCATCGCTCAGCAACCCGTCATCGTCGCATATGCCACATTCGTCTCCGAGCAGCGCCTCCTCTTCGTCGTCGTCGTAGTCCACCGGGGAGGCTCCATACCGTCCGTGTCCACGTTCGTCTCTGCATGTAGTGTCCAGCTGGATTAGCATCGCTGCCGTCACCTCGTCCCAGATGTACTCGTTGTTGCATTGTCCGAGAATCGCCTTGTTCAGTCATGCGGATGTGTACCAACTTCAGCAGGAAGTATGTCCGAAGGTCCTCGCTCACCGTCGTGTTTGCCGAGAGAGAATCGAGCCGCTCGTACTCCGTCTCCCGCCGTGATATGTAGTCCTGCACTGACTCCGATCTGTTGCAAATGCCTTTGAAGAACAACTTCTCGAATGCTTGCTGCTTTTGTAGTGGTGCGATCCGTTCGCACGCTTGTCGTACTATCGCAACTACCAGCTTTACCGCAGCAAGTGGGTCCTCACCTGCTTTGTCCAACACTGTTTGCGTTGCAATCTCGGCCTTCTTCCTCGTGAGATTCCACGCTCGTCCATTCAACGAATTCTGGAGCTTGATTGTCTAGAGCTTTTGGATCTTCTCTTCGCTCGCATGGTAGCCGAGTATTGCCCGCTCCTCGAACTCCTCGCCGTAGGCTGGGTTTCCATTGTAGTATACCACGCCCTCTTTGTCCACGATGAAGGGTCCGTCGTCGTTGAACTGCTGCTGCCTGGTCGCCATCACGTCTGTGATGGAGATATTCTCGTACAGCACGTCTTTGCTGTTGCTGCAACGATTGTCGGCCAGGCTGCACGTGATGAGGCTGTGGTGGTTGGTCGCCGAACTATGGAAAGCGCAGTGGTAAAGCACCGCGAGAACGATGAGCGCCAGCATGTACTTCTGCACGGCCACTCTGATATGAATCTCGCCACCGTGGAGCCGATGCAGCTCCAGGCTACCAGTGTAAATATCGATGACAATTTCCTTCTCACAAACACTTGATGCAAACACAAGATGAGATGGAATCGAAATCTTCATTCCGTACTCAGAACAAACGTGAGTAGGTGCGTCCACCCTCCCGCCCAGCTTGTGAGCCACAACGGTTGCGGGCGAGAGGGATACTGCACACGGCACGAGCGAGCGAGAGCAGCAACAGCAGAGATATTTCTCATTAGCATCCTATATCTCACATCCTTGCCTACCTGATTTTCACACTCGGGGTGCTCCAGGGCCGTCTTAGAGGCCATCTTAGGCGTCTTGGAGGCTTCTTGGGTCGTCTTTGTGACCTCTTGGGGCCCTCTTGGGGGCCTCTTGGGCAGTCCTGAGGCCATCTTGGAGGCCTCTTGGGCGCTGTGGGGGCGATCTTGGGGGCCTCTTGGGCCGTCTTGGGTCGTCGGAAAGCCGAGAAGAAGCGAAGGCCAAAATCCTTCAAAAACCTGAGGGAAGTCAATAATTTTGGCCTCTTCGGGCCCTCATGCAGGACCTCTTGGAAGCCTCTCGGGCCGTCTTGGAAGCCTCTGGGGAGCCTCTTGGGCCGTGTCTGGCCGTCTTGGATTCTTGGGCCGTCTTGGAGACCATCTTGGAACTCGTGGACCATATTGGGCGATCTTGGATGCCATCCTGGGCCATCTTGGCCGTCGTGGAGGCCATCTTGGGCAAACTTGGGGCAACAAAGGCATCGACGGATGCGTTATGAGATCCTTCCCGGGACCCCGGCGGGACGCGCCGGAGCCCCAGGGGGAGTTCTTCTGGAAAAGAACGAAAACCAAAACTGAGATCATCTAGCACGCCAGGCACCCCTGTGATGAATCAACAGGGACGGCGGATCGAGTGGCCTTCGGCACATCCCTCCACCGTGCCTGGGTTGCGGGTCTGAGGCCACTCGGATGGCTGATGGGGTCTCGTGGGAGGCGTCTCGGGGGCGTGTTGGAGGCAGTTTGTGAACCTCTTGGGCGCCCCCTGGGGGCCTCTTGGGGGCTCTTTGCGGCCATCTTGGGCTCCCTGGTGGCCTGTTGGGGGCTTCTTGGGGCAACCCGGAGGCTTTTTGGGGTGGAAGACTCGAATTGTTTGTTCGGGTTCCCCCTCTGGGTCCCCTCTTGGGGCTGTTCTGGGGCCCTCCTGGGCCGTCTTGGGGGCTTCTTGGGCCGTCTTGGGGCCCTCTGGGTCGTCTTGGAGCCCTCTCGGGGGCCTTTTGGCCCGTCTTGGGGCCCCTTGGGCCCTGTGGGACGTTGTGAACGCCCAAGAGGGGAATATCCTACAAATGCACCTTTTCCAAAGGGAATGGGGCGATTTTTGCTTCTGTAGGCCCTCTTGGGACGCCTCTTGGGGGCTTCTTGGGGCGTCTTGGGGGCTTTCTGGGCCGTCTGGAGGCCAGCGTGGGCGTTTTGGATCGATCTTTCAGCGACTCGTGGCTCTTGTGGACCGCCCCAAGGGCCTCTTGGGGCCCTCTTGGCCTGTTTTGGGCCCTTTGCCTCCACGGGTGCGTTCAGCCAGATCCGGGGGGACCCCCCCCTTCCACATTGACCGGACTGGGCTCCGGGGGAGGGTTTGGGGAGGGGCAAGCATTTCATAGGCCGATGAACCCCAAGGGGTCGGCGGATTTCATATGGAAAATGAGCGATGGGGCAGACTCGTATGTGAGTTGCAATGCGCGAAGCTTGCCCGATAAGCTGGGGGGTAAATCCTAATGTGCTTTCAGAAAAGGGGAATTTGTGCGGTGCCATCAGTCTACGTTGTGCAATTTAGGCGGCGACGGGGCGGCGACGGCGGCAACATAGCCGCCAGACCGACAATCAGGCCCAGAGACGGGCGGCGACGAGGCGGCGACGGGGCGGCGACGGCGACAACAGCCGCCAGGCCGACATGGAGGCCCAGAGGACGGACGGCGACGGGGCGGCGACGGCGACAACATAGTCGCCAAAGCGACATTCAGTTCCAGCTCAGTAGAAAACAAGTAAGGACCCTTAAGTGCGAACGCAATTTGGGGAATCTGCGCGTCGACCCCGAAGGGGCGACGCGTGCGTTCAGAATTCTTGTAGTTGATGCTCTGTTGCGGGTGCTTTTTGGCCATGCCGCTCGGACAAATACATAGTATAAAATTTTGTGCTAGATGTTCGGGTCGGCCGTGCGTCTCCGACATAGGCATCTCGTACTGTTATGTCCTTCTGCGTCCCACCGGTTGTTCAAGGTGGAACGATCCACGCGGAGTCGGAAGCCAACGCCAAAATCGTCGCGACAAGTACCTGCAGAGCACACGGCACTGTGCCTCGCAATGGGCCTGGCCAGATTGTCGCTCCGCGCATCCCCCCGACAGTCCATCCAGAAGCGATGCCCAGAAGCGGTGCCCCAGGAGATGCACATTTGGGAGCCGGCTCCCTCGCCGTCCGTGAAGCTGTTGCAAGATGCGAGCTTCAGGGTCATAAGTTGTGAGGTAGTCTAGGGGGAAACGCCTAGCCCGCCCTGCCGACACGCTTGGGGGTTCGACAGGGAGGAGTTGTGCACGTAGCACATCATGGGAGCCTTGTTTGTCCTCGTAAGTCCTTTTTTAAGAGTGCACTAGCGTGAGCTAGCGTCTGGTAACCGTTGAGAAGGCGCCGATTTGGCGTCGATCAGAGTCGATTAGCGTTTGTTGGCTTCGATTCGTCAGAGCCAGCACGATGGCATGGGAGGCTCCCATGAGTTGCCACCGAACCTTGATCAGATGTCGGAGCAAGCAGTGGAACAACGAGGGGGGGTGCAGCCGACAAACCGAAGCTCGGGATCAGCCTGAGCAGATCCGCAGTTCAACCATACAGGCCTTCGTGGACCCTTCGACATGGAAATTGGGGCTCTCTTGGGGCCCTCTTGATGCTCTCTTGGGGCCCTCTAGGGGACCTGTCGGGCCCTCCAGGGGCTATGTCGGAGGACATCGGTCAAACAAGGAGTCGCCCTGAATCAGCCTTGCCTCGTCGGACCCTGGCAAGTCATCTTAGGGACTTGTCGGGTCGCTTTTGGCGCGCTTTTGGGGGGTACTCTTGGGACCTTGGAGCTCTTCCAGTCTATTGGAGCCATCTTGAGACCTCAAACGCCCATGGGAAACAAGAATGCGAGAAAGCCAAACACATTGAACAACCCTGGGCTTTTGATGAGACGAGGAACCCCCCAGGAGACTCGAACGCTCATGTTCGTGCCGTTGTGTCGTCCTCTCGAGAAGGCGCGGACTTCCGAACGAACGTTTTCGCTTCTGTGTTTTTTATTTGCTTTTGTTCCTCTGACTTCGCTTTCACAGTGAGCATTGAGAGTCATCGGCCCCCCTCGGGGGGAAGGCCAGGGGCAGTGGGGTCCTGATCAGCGGCTGGTAGACCAGGCGCAGCCCAGAAGGCTTCCTCGACGGCTGCCTTCTTTCACAGGCCACCCTCGCCCCGCCCTCTCGTGCGCGCCGCTGGCGTGTGCCGAACGCGCTGCCCCCCCCCCCCGCCTGCCCACCCCCACAGGTCACCTGTTTGCCGCAGACCTTCGTGTTGCTTCCTGCGCCCGCCCCGGTCTGAGTACGGGGGTGCTGTAAGATCAACAAGCGCGGACCGCTCGCGCTCGTTATAAGCAGGGAAAACATGCATTGGTATGTCGAGAGCGAATGCTGGCGATTTTTGAGCGTGAAAAGGACTGCAGATGTCTTGCCCTTGAGCATCTGCGGCTCGTCGCCGCATAACGCGATAGTGTACAACGTGTGCTTCCTGAGCGAGGAGGAAGAGCAGGATAGGAGAAGAGTTCTCCTCCCCTCCTCGATTACTGTGCGTGTCGGTCTTACCTCTCCACAGCATTTGTTTGCCGAAATTGACGCCAGAATTGTTTGAATGAGCCCTACATTGGCCAGAGTTGGGTATGAGGGGGCAAGGGCAGCCGAAGTGGACCCCGGTTGGCCGGGAGTTGGCCCAAACTGGCCCCAACATCGCTCATCTATTAATTTGAACGGATCAGCCAAATTGGCACGGTTTTCCCGAAATTCCTACGCCCCCTCCCTCCACAGGATCCCTACCGCCGCCCCTTGTACCGTTTTTGGGGCTTCTCTGGGCCGTCCTGGCCGTCTTGGGTGGTTTCGTGGGGATCCCTCGAGTCGTTTTGGGGCTTGCAGAGCCTTCCGGAAGCCATGCTGGACCCGCCGTCGGCAGCAGTGAAGGCGGGGACTGCACAAATAAAGTCAGAGAAGCATGTTCTTTGTGTATTCGTTTTGGGGGAACTTCTTGGGGCCCACCTAGCGGATCTGTTCGACTAGCTCGAATGTAGTTCGAATATATTTCGACTCTAGTTCGACCCAAGTTCGGCTCGTCTTGACGCAGCATCGACAAATGAGTGAACCGAGTGGCTCCAGGAAGGCCTCCCGAACGAGCAACTAATATCATGATGCAGCAGGTATTGCAACATTTTTAAAGTGCGAGTCGGTAATCGAGAATGCGGTTCAATTTCGCTTGGCGATGCCGACCGCAGCACCAATTCTTTCCGCCATTGCCGCCTCCTCCGCCCCCTCCGCCTCTTGCGAAGTGGTGCGACATGGCTTGCTGTGCGTTTGCTCCGCACAATTGTTTGCAGTTGCTGGCAGTACGTTGTCGAAATATCGGCGGCGCGCTGGGGTTGGAACTGAGAGGGGATCACTTGACGTGTGTAGGGACTGCATAATCGCGTCCCAGGCAGCGCTGGCCGTCCGAGGCCCAGGGCCATGTGCATCATGTGCATGGTTCCCATCTCTGGCTCAGACTTGTCCGTACCTACATTTTGCTCGCCACCGTATTTTACTAGGCTTCGGAGGCCCTGCCGGTGGCGCCTGTCGCAAGGGATGCCCAGCGCACCTCGGGAGCTCCAGAGGTCCCGACCTTTTTTTCCCGGGGGCAGTTTCTCGGACCCGATGACTTTTTTTTGATGGCCCCGGGGTTCGACAGCGGCCCTGGGAGGCCGACGCAGAGGTGGGCACAGAAGCACTCCATCCGCCAGAGGTCTGGGACTCGCGTGGCCTCCGAGCCCGAGGGCCGGAGTTCACCCCAGAAGTCGGAGCCCACCCCGCCGTGGGCGGAGCCCCACCGGAGGTGAGGCGGCGCCGGGCCACGCCAGGCCGCGCCGAGTCCCACGGGGGCCACCAGTGGACGGGGCTCCGCGGACGGCTCCTGCCTACCACCACCGCGTGTCGCGCCTGGCTAGGGCCGCCCTGGGCCCTGGGACGGCCGTGTGGACTTTCTCGCCGGCCTCGCCCAGGAGGGCGCGTGCACCGCTTCAGGGCCCAGGGTGGCCCGGCCAGGCGTGCCGCGGGTGTGCTGGTGCCTTCTGCGTGGGGGTGCGGGGCGGCCGCCGCCGGCGGCGCCTCTCCAATCCGCCTCGGTCGCTATGTGCAACGCCCTGATGCTCGTGGCGCTGCTGGGATTCACGGGCGCGCGGGGGGTGGGCGGTCTCCACAGACGGCGTCTTCTGGCACCTTGCCTGGCCACGGCCATCCTGGGCCCCAGTAATGGTGTGCGAACTCCCTCGCAGCCTCGGGCAGGAGGGCGTATACACCACGCTAGGGCCCAGGAGTGCCCTGGCCGCCATCGGCGGCGGGTGTACCCAGGTCACCCGCAGGCGTTCGAGGAGAAGCGCGGTTCTGCGTCCCTTCCTGGGCTGGGCCAGAGCGTTGCCCTTCTCAGGGGTGGCCGTGCGAGAGCGCGAAGCATTAAAGTCGGTGACCCAGGTAGACAAGGGCGATGTCGCCATCAGCGCGGGTGTACAAAGCAGTCGCCCTGGCCTTCGCTGAAATCGTTCATTTCTGTTGTGTCGTGTTCGCTTTTGCCGATCAGCGTCGGCTTTGCCTTTTCCAGGGGTGCTATCAGTGTTAGAATTTTCGGACCAGTATTATGATGCTCCAACCTACTTTCGCCTTGATCACCAGAAAGAATTTCGAGCGCCCAAACGAAACTCAAGGGTTTTCACGTGTCGGGCCCTGGGAGACACTCGCCCGACACTGTTTCGACACTGTTTCGACACTCTCTTGACACTTTTCCAGGTGCTCGAAATTATTTCTGGGATGTGGTCCTTAAGTAGGATGGGAACAACATAAGACCAGTACCGATTTTGGCTAATTAGCATCAGCTCAGTTCGATATTGCAGATCAGTATCTTATTTTGCTGATCAGCTCTTCTTCAGCATGGATGGGACGGTCGTGCCCCAGTGCAAGCGCGGGCCTGTCGGTGAGGTGAGTGCCTTCCAATGATCCCGAAGTCAATGAACCCAGCGCGACCCCAATTAATTAGGGGAAAGCTTCCTATTGCATGGGCACAGTGCTTGGCATTGCTTGGCATTGCTTGGCATTGCCTGGCACTGCGCATTGCTTGGCATTGCTTGGCATTGCTTGGCGTTGCTTGGCATTGCTTGGCATTGCTTGGCATTGCTTGGCAGTGCTTGGCGTTGCTTGGCATTGCTTGGCATTGCTTGGCGTTGCTTGGCGTTGCTTGGCATCGCTTGGCATTGCTTGGCATTGCTTGGCATTGCTTGGCATTCCTCGGCATTGCCTGACATTCCTTGGCACTGCTTGGCATCGCTTGGCATTGCTTGGCATTGCTTGGCATTGCTTGGCATTGCTTTGCCTTCCTTGGCATTGCTTGGCATTGCTTGGCATTGCTTGGCGTTGCTTGGCATTGCTTGGCCTTGCGCGGCATTGCTTTGCGTTGCTTGGCATTGATTGGCATTACTTGGCATTGCTTGGCATTACTTGTCATTGCCTGGCATTGCTTGGCATTGCTTGGCATTGCTTTGCATTGCTCGACATTGCTTGGCATTGCTTGGCGTTGCTTGGCATTGCTTGGCATTGCTTGGCATTCCTCGGCATTGCCTGACATTCCTTGGCACTGCTTGGCATCGCTTGGTATTGCTTGGCATTGCTTGGCATTGCTTGGCATTGCTTTGCCTTCCTTGGCATTGCTTGGCATTGCTTGGCGTTGCTTGGCATTGCTTGGCTTTGCGCGGCATTGCTTGGCGTTGCTTTGCATTGCCTGGCATTGCTTTGCATTGCTTGGCATTGCTTGGCATTGCCTGGCATTGCTTGGCATTGCTTGTCATTGCCTGGCATTGCTTGGCATTGCCTGGCATTGCTGTGCGTTGCTTGGCATTGCCTGGCATTGCTTTGCATTGCTTGGCATTCCATGGCACTGCTCGGCATTGAGTGGGATTGCTTGGCATTGCTTGTCTTTGATCGGCATTGCTTTGCATTGCTTTGCATTGCTTTGCATTGCTTGGCATTTACTGGCATTGCTTTGCGTTGCTCCGCGTTGCTTGTCATTTTTTGGAATTGCTTGGCTTTGCTGCTCATTTCTTGGCATTGCTTGGATCGGCACCGGGGGCGGGGAACCTGGGGAACCCCGGGATCTTGAGTAACCTGGGGGACCCAGGGAGCCCAGGAACCCGAGGAACCCGAGGAACCCGGGGAACCCGAGGAACTGGGAGAACCCGAGGAACCCGAGGAACCTCCGAGTAACGGGCAAAGAACACCGTGGGCAAGCCTCACTGGGGAAAACTCGTGTTTGGCCTCGAGCTACTTTTCTGTCAGCCCCCTATGTCAGGCGATCCGGCGCCCCCAAGTTTTGGGCCCAGCTGGCAAATCTTGTTCGATCCAGGGATCCAGCTTCCGGCTTGATCTTCTCTCTTGCCATCTCCCGCCAAGTTATCCCAGAGATTGGTAAGCAGGCATCATCACCAACAGCCCAAATTCAGCAGGGAAACCTCGGTGCAGCGACGGCAGGGATCCTGGAACCCTCCTTCTAGCCCTCCCCCTCCTCTTCCTTCCTCTACCCTTTCCCTCTCCCTTGCTCCCCTTCTTTTTCCTTCTCTCTCAGTTCTTGACGCCTCGCGTATGCCTGTCCAGCTGGCGGCGAATTGTCTTGCAATTTAGTCCCGTACCGTTACCCGGACGCCGCTTCCGCTCCCTGTCCGTTGCCTCGGAGCCGCTGACCAAAAAATGCCTGTCCAGCAATGGCGCCCAGGCGAGTGTTCGCAAGACGGGAGGCGGAGTAGCACCTTTGAAGTAAAGACAAACTGGCCAATTCGGATTCCTCCAGGATCTTTTGGGGCTCTGATGAGGCTCCATCGGGTCCCTTGGGAGCCTTTGTAGGGCCCTCCAAGGCTGTCCTGGAGGGAATCGACTGAGAAAGGGTGGGCCTCAGGCTGAGCCTGCAGATCGGGAGCCACGGGTGGCCAGCTTCGAGACGTTCTCCCGCTTGTGGAGGCCTCCTGGAGTTCCTCTTGGGCTCCTCTTGGACCCGCTCTAGAGGCATCTGGTGCCCCTTTTGGGGGTGGCCTCTTGGCGGCCTCTCGGGGGCTTCCATTGGCCGTCGTAGACGCCCTGGAGGCCGAAGAGCTGATATTTGTCAAATCACAGCGGAAGGTCCTCGGGGCCGAATGTGTCGGCCGATCTTTGCCCAGGGCCAGCACTGAAGATCAATAGTGGTCTCTACGGGAACGAACCACACGCCACGGAACATTGCCTTGGGCAAACACCGCATGACGGGGGAACTATGGGATCAGCACGTCGATGAGCGGGAGGGCACCCGGCGGCGCTGCATCGCCTGGTCCCCCCACGGGGCCGCGCCCCCGCGCGCCGGCCCGGGGGCCCCGATTGTGCACGCGGGGGGCGCATCAAGCTTCAAGGTATACAATCAAACGTTCTGGCCGAAACATCGCAGAGTCTCGCACAACCTGCAGCGCGCAACTCGACCCAACCTTCGTCAACTCGCCGAGCACGCTTATGTCCCCCCCAGCAGCTGCAGTTTCCAGGGTCGAAGCGCACCCCTTCGAAAGTCATCATTTCATTATCCGATCCTTCCCTTCTCTCCGCTTGTTTTTTTGTTCTCGCTCTCTCTCAATTCCACCCGTCGGTGATGGTGCGGTTTATTTTGAGCGGTGCCCCCGCTGTGTGTTTTGGGTGGCCCCGT